GGTACCCATCCCTTGAGGATTAATGCTTCAGAACCTCTAGAAGACAAGGAAGCTTGTACTTGTGTTGAGAATTTACATTAATAAATGAGTAAGAGAGGACTGTCACCGAGACTAATTGTACTTGACACCACTGTGCTTGGTCTCCCTCACCCGGAGGATCACTTCATCCTTCCTCAGAACACGGCCACCAGTAAGATGCAAGGATGAAACACACAGGAATTTAAAAAAGGATGCAGGAAAAAAAAAACATTATTACATTTCCTAGCATTTTCCATGGGATTAACCTCCATTCTCATTAGAGACTCAGTTATCTGCTTTTTTTTCATTCGTTAGAGAGCTCCTCCAAGACAAACAGCAATTTATTTGTTCCCCGAGAACCCCGGGCCTGAAAGATGCGGCCATCTGTCAGCGGGAAGGAGCTCTCCGTAAACTGCTGCTTTCCCATCAAACCCTTCCTAGATTTTAATTTGCCACCTAAAATACCAGAGGAAACCAAACAGCTTTTAGTTACACGTAGATACATGCAAAGTATTTTAAAGTGGAGGATCAGAGGCACAGAGCGAAGCAAGGAGGTGCATCAAGCAGCCTTCGGGCTCCGAGAAGTCCTTCCCATGACCCCAGGTGTTCGTAGCTGTTTCACCAAGAGACTTCTCTAAGGAAAGAGAGCTCACGTAGACTTCACAAAACGCATGGCAGAAGGCCTACTGAAGAATCGCTAGCGTATAATTCCAACTCCCAAAGAAAATGGGCGGAGGGCATTTCCTTCCTTGGAAAGCCACCAAGCCATTCCTGAAGGCCATGAAGTGCAGTTCCATGCTCCTTAGACTGCACAGAAGGACACCAAACCTCCCTTGTTTCTTGAGGTTCAGCGTGGGGTCCAGAACTGCTCGAGGACCTCTGATCTGGTCCTCTGTCTCCAGGACAAAAATGAGCCACTTGGATTTTGCTCTCTTTTCCCTAGGTCTCGTCTCAGCAGAACCTCGTCAAAAGGGGTCTGGAAAAATTAAGATATATCATCTGACCACTCCGTACCCCCAACTTTACCAGCCTTCTAAGAATTTCAAAAGGGGATAACGGGAAGGCAGAAAAAAGCATGTGGCTGAGCCACAGGAGGGATCATCTCAAAGTTCAGAGCAGGCACCCAACTCGCAGAGAGCTTACCAAGAGTCAGCTGAGGGAGCTGGGCTTCTTCAGCCTGGAGAAGAGAAGGCTGAGAGGGGACCTTCGAAATGCCTCTAAATATCTGCAGGGTGGGGGTCAGGAGGACGGGGTCAGACTCTTCTCAGTGGTGCCCAGCGACAGGACAAGGGGCAACGGGCACAAACTGAAGCAGAGGAAGCTCCAGCTGAAGATGAGGAAGAACTTCTTCCCTCTGAGGGTGACGGAGCCCTGGCCCAGGCTGCCCAAGGAGGCTGTGGAGTCTCCTTCTCTGGAGATATTCCAGACCCGCCTGGACGCAGTGCTGTGCAGCCTGCTCTGGGTGACCCTGCTTGGGCAGGGGGTTGGGCTGGGTGACCCCCAGAGGTCCCTTCCACCTGTGCCATTCTGTGATTCTGTGTGATTCTAGACACTCTCTGCATCCAGCAAAGCAGGACAGACAAGGTAGGTGCCCTCAAGGGCAGAAGAGATTCAGCCCTTAAAAATGTCAGAAATTCACAAAGGAGGGAAAAAGTGAGCCTTTCAGGAACTTAAAATACCTGCTCTGGACCCAGACCTGCTTGTTGCTGGAGGTAGCAAAACGGGTGGAGAGAATTACAGGTTTTGAGTACACAGCAAAACCAGACTGAGTTAGAGGGCTTAATTTAAATTGTTTCATTATACTACCACAACCACAGTGTGCAAGGGCTTACCCCACCCCTAATGCAAATAGAGTGCCGCAGCCTCGAACCTATTTTGTAACTGCAGAAAGTAGAATCACTACACCAAGTTCACTTTTATCCCCCCACTTTGGAGATACACAAGAAGTAGGTTTGAGAACTCTGCGGTTTTTTTCTGTATTAATGCCATTGTAAAAAGCAACAGTTTGGTCTTGCACGATGCACTGAGGGTTACCCAGCTTAAAAAATATAAACTACACACATACACATGGTATACGCTTAAACGGAGATTTGAGGAAGGTGGGAATTATTATTAGAGCATAGAAACATTCCCAAAGGAAGAGAAAATTTAACTAAACAGAATTGCATGGATGGATGGATGGATGGATGGACTCCACTCAACAGAATTTTCCAGCAGAGGGCTACGAGGATGAGGAGGGCACTGGAGCACCTCTCTTACGAAGAGAGGCTGAGGGAGCTGCGCTTGTTCAGCCTGGAGAAGAGTCAGTTTGTGCCCGTTGCCCCTTGTCCTGTCGCTGGGCACCACTGGAAAGAGTCTGGCCCCGTCCTCCTGACCCCCACCCTGCAGATATTTAGAGGCATTTCGAAGGTCCCCTCTCAGCCTTCTCTTCTCCAGGCTGAACAAGCCCAGCTCCCTCAGCCTCTCCTCGTAGGAGAGATGCTCCTGTGCAAGGGAAAGGATGATCTTCAACGCGATGGTGTAAGCAGACTGCTTTACTCTCTGCGGTTGTCTCGGGCGCACGTCCAAAAGGTTCTCAAAATGAACGACATGATACATCTTAGCCTCATGTTTATGAAAAAAGTTAGTTGATTTAGAAGGAAAAGATTATTTAAAGTTGCATTGGGTCTTTTTTCCCCCCACCATCACAGTGGGTGAGGAACTGGACTCAGCTCACCACCAGCCACAGCAAACAATTCAGCTCCTCGTGTTCAATCATTGTTTGCACACATATGTTCATCTTAGAAAAAAGGAAAAAAGGAAAAAAGGAAAAAAGGAAAAAAGGAAAAAAGGAAAAAAGGAAAAAAGGAAAAAAGGAAAAAAGGAAAAAAGGAAAAAAGGAAAAAAGGAAAAAAGGAAAAAAGGAAAAAAGGAAAAAAGGAAAAAAGGAAAAAAGGAAAAAAGGAAAAAAGGAAAAAAGGAAAAAAGGAAAAAGGAGCTGCCCTTCACTGAAAGCAAAATGCTAAGTTTTCTGGCCCACAGGCAGAATTTAAGATCACCAGTGGAAATATTTCTTCTACAGGATTCACCACGACTATTAGCTCGGGGTTTTATGAAAGCAGGGGAGTGCAGTAACTCTGGACAACGCCAGCTGAAACATCAATGGGCCAGAAACCCAAAAGCCTGTTACAAACAGCGTAATAACGACGGAAAAACTATACCACCTTTCTCAGAAAAGGTCTTTTTGAGGGCAGCCACCAAAAAACCGCTGCACCAGCCCACCCGGCTCCTGCTGCAGCTCCTTCCCTCCACAAAGCATTAATATTTGCTCTCTCATCTACTCACCTGGAGGTGTTGAAGGCCAGGTTGGATGGAGCTCTGAGCACCCTGGGCTGGTGGAAGATGTCCCTGCTCATGGCAGGGGGGTTGGAACCAGATGATCTTCAAGGTCCCTCCCAACCCAAACCATTCTATGATTCTATGATGTTTTTCTTGCAGGAATTTTCCTTCTCAGAAGAAGGCATCACTGGCAAGTTTGACTGAAACCAGTTCAGGGTCTCAGCAGTTACCGAAGGGAGATGGGAGACTGCCAGGTGTGGATTCGCTGATGTCTAATAAAGAGCAAGCTTCTGCTATGGCTTTAGCAGCGCTCAGTGGGGCAATCAATCGACTGTGAGACACAACTCCACTGGAAACCCGGCTTCATTACGTCTGCTGTTCGCAGAAGAAATTGTTTTTAATCCAAACCTGTCTAATAAAGAGTACCTTCAGAAAACAAGGAGCGTATACATTACCTCAGTAACAAAGAGAGTGCGAGGATCGATGATGTCCAAGAAGTGCCTGAATCTGCCATAAAACGAAGTCTGGAAGACAGGGAGGAGAGAAAAAAAAACAGAACACGAGTTTGGTTAGAAATTGCCTTTCACCCACTGCAGAGAAAGGTTTTGTTTCCTCTGCAGAACTAAGTAGCAACTAAAAAGAAATAATACAGCAGCTACTCACCGGTAATTTGTGATAGGAAGTCTTGGAAGGGAAAGATGAGGACTTGGACCCTGCTAATAGCAGTGTTGCTACTAACAGGATACTACCAAGCTGCTAAAACATCCCTTACTTTTTCCCCAGAAAAGACACACTGCCTGCTCAACCCTCCCTATGGGACTCCCGGGAGATGTCACCCCACGGTGCCCCTCCAGACCTCCCACGCCGAGCGACGCCGTCGCAGGGACTCCCCCCCCACGATGCCTCCGACCCCGCGCCACTCGTCCTCACCCCCCACCAGCGCCCATCTCCCGCGACCAGCAGCACCACGGGGTCCCCGATTTTGGAGACAGACTAGTGTGAAGAAACGCCTCCACCCATACAGGTATGAGAAATTATATTTTCAAACACTCCAAGCAGAGTTTGAAGTCTCAACAAGGAAACCAGAGGTTTTCTCCTCGATGGGAGGAATGACAAAAGACGAGACTAAGTACAAACCTGGTTTAATGTCTCACATTTATTGCAGAATTGTCCAGGCACTAAACCAGGGCTGGGTTTCATTGCATCAGTCACTACACCAACACGGAGAAGATGGACTGGGAACCTCGATATATGTAAAAGCAACCACAGCTTTATGGTTTGGGCTTGTTCTTAGTCCCATGGTTGGAAAAAAAAACCGATCTAGATGTGCTTGCGTAGTGAAAGATCTGGTCAAGATGCTTTTGCTGGGTGCAGCAAAAGCATCTGAAGGACCTGAAAGGGATCTGGAGAACTGGGAACAGAGGCTGAAAGAAAGGGGGAAGGTGTCTGTAGCATAGGTGGAAAGATCTCGGGCGGCTCCAAAGGCAAGGACAGCAGGTTTGATGAAAAAATAAAAATAAGTATTTAATTTAGGCAAGCCTGAAGCACCAGACCATGAAATGTTGATGTCCTAAGAGCACTCCGGATACACGTGCATCGTCACTCACACATGGGTCTGGATTCCTTCACCAGGATGAAGGCGCAGATCGAGCACCAGAGCTAACCTAGTGCAGCCTAATCCCCCAGACGCCGGCGAGGGCGGACGGACCCGGGGCAGCCCGGCCCAGCGGCTGCTCGCTCTCCCGTGGCTTCTCCCCAGCAGAATTTGCACCGGGGATTCGGAGCCCAGCGCGGATACGGAAAGGACACAGGGCACTGACCTCCGGGTGCTCTTGGATCTCGGGACCCCTTTGCCCTGGGTGCTCTCCAGCCACGGGCGGGCAAACCTCCTTCTCTGTAACGCAGAAGCGTGCTATGAATAAAGGACTGGAGCACGGACACAGCAGCGAGAGCGGCATTTAATCACAGCTCAGTGTCATTTTACGAAACGTTCTGGTTCTTCTCTGCTGAAAACATCAAGAGAGAGCAGTGATACTGCCTGGTTGCTCCGGCAGAAACCCCCTCTCCAAGGGCAGGTTCCAGCATCGCTGCCGGCCACCACCTCGCGCTGCAGCACCCCGTCCTCAGCCGCTTCACAGAACCACCGAATAGTAGGGGTTGGAAGGGACCTCTGTGGGTCATCCAGTCCAACACCCCTGCCGAAGCAGGGTCACCTACAGCAGGCTGCACAGGACCTTGTCCAGGCGGGGCTGGAATATCTCCAGAGAAGGAGACTCCACAGCCTCCCTGGGCAGCCTGGGCCAGGGCTCCGTCACCCTCAGAGGGAAGAAGTTCTTCCTCATGTTCAGACGGAAAACAGAGAGCTTGCCAAGCTCTCTGCTGTTGCTTTCCCATGTTCTGCTCTCAAAAAAGAAAACCCCACAACCAAACAGAACAGCTTCACACAACTTCAGAAAAAAAGCCCAGTGGTTTTTAATTAGCATTGATTTAATTAAAATTAATTCTGGTGCTTTCTAGCTTCTCCAAGCCCGAAGTTCTGCTGCCTCGCTGTTATATTGCGACACGAAGATCTCCGCAGACGCCGCTGTCCTCCACACCCCGACGGCCCGGTGCCCGCCAGCGGCGCGGGGAGCGGCGTGACTAACGCCTGACTCACGCCGTCCCCCGTCACGTTCTCCCGAGCGCTCCCACGTCCCCACGTCCCTCTCCCACTGCCCGTCCTTCTGCACTTGCTCGGTGCCGAACAGCAAGGAGAGAATTCGGAGCAGCTGTAAGCACGCAGCTTAAACAAGAACAGAAGGGGGGGGGATTTTTAAATTTAAGAGACCTCGACTTCTCCACTGTCTTGCTCATCGTGATATGCATTGCACGGTGAGAAAAACAACATTAAATAGAGCATCCGTATTTTACACCCACTTTACAAAGGTGTAAGTGACAGTACAAGGCACAAGGAAGGGGGAATGAGACCAGAAGATCAAATGTGCATCACCTAAATGTGATTTTAGAAGGATAGACATAAATTTCCAAAGCTGCTGAGGCTCTCAGGAGGCCGGTCCCGTAGCCCAGGGTCATTGCTTGGCTCAGCACTGGCCTCCTGCTCTGATCCTTGCCTGGCGCAACCTCAGCGACGCCCAGCTAAGGACATGTTCCAGCAGCTCAAACCCAACCTGATGCAATCCCATTCCCACGTCCCTCCTCCTCCTCCTCCTCTGCTGCCCTGTGCCTGCGCTGACGCTCACCCGCTGATCACAGAATCACAGAATGGTCGGGGTTGCAAGGGACCTCTGTGGGTCACCCAGCCCAACCCCCTGCCCAAGCAGGGTCCCACA